ATCGCCGGGATATGTCGCATTCGAAGAATACGTCGCATTTAATGCCACGCGGCTTGAAAAACACATAAAGTTCCCAAAAACACGCAGTTAGCACGGCTCTTGATTCGCTATCGTCCATCCTTTCGATCCTTGTCAGTTGTTTAACGGCAACAACAATAAAAAGTTAAATATAAAAAAATAGATAAAACTCGAAAATTAAATTAAATTAATTGATGCTAAAAATGTCCTACATCATGTTTTCATTTTTCACATTACGTTTTAAAAATGAGATGCAATTTAATGCAAATTGCAAATTAATGCAATTAATGCAAGCAATATTAATTTGTAAGAATAAAATTTCCTTTTGACAAATTAAAATTATTATTTAAATAGTAATAAAATTCCCTGTTATCGTACCAACTCTAATTTAATTTCCATAAATTACTATTTCTTGCACTGATTTGCCGTGTCTCATCTTCGAAACGTAACGTACAAAAGTAGACACACGCGAAAGGAGTCCTGATGTAGTTGCAGTGTCGACGCAAACCTGTAACGCGACACGATGTGACAAGCCCCCTCGAGCGTGCACTATGCCAAAGCGGTTGTACACGAGATTGCACTATTCGCGACTGAGACTCCGGCAGATGACTAAGAAACACTCGACTTGCGTCCGCGATATTCAACCGGAATCCACTCAGGTATACACGTTTACGCGAGACGCGTGCTCCGTGTTAAAATATATGAATCCAAGATAATCGTGCGCTTGTGATACACCGTTCGCTCGGAATTTTACGACACGCTGCTCTCCGCACGCGTTCATCCCGATTGCATGCGCACCGTCGTGCGACGCGCAAATGAATTTAGCGTCGCAAGCAGCGGGTGTGTTTGTGAGAGATCGAAACGGCATAAGAAGACTAAATGTAATCGGATTATAGCACGTACTTGCATTATCGTAATCGCGGCAGTATATTTCACGTCGGATGAGAGCGCAGCGCGAATTAGTGTATTATACGCGCACTCGCGAAATGTGACCGGCGTGAACAATGTCGTATCACATCACATCGTCACAAACACCGGCGACCCGTCATCGATATTCGTAATGCAAATCCAGCCGGTGTGACGGTGAATACCTGTTGGCAAAAGTAATAAACGGCGGAAGAAAAAGCAGGAATGTGATACGCCGTGCAAGTTGTAACTACGTTTACTACGTGTGCGGCCTTCTGGTGAACACGCGCGTAATAAAAAAGACGTTTCGCGTCGAATAAGACGGGAGTGAAATTACGTAATAACAAAATTTCGTTGTTCTCGATGTGACGATAATGTAGCGCGCAAATCTTCTCTGTATATATTGGTAGCCGTACTGCTTAGAAAGAGAGAGAGAGAGAGAGAAAGAAACGGATCATAAATATACATGAAAATACGGTGAATATTCTCATGCCGTGTTATAAAGCTGGCGAATAATGGTCCGGACGTGTTTACGATATCAAAGTGACACAAGGAGGCTAAATATAATTTAACGGCGTATTTTACGAGTTCGTCTTTAATGCATTCCCTTGCATTATCGATGAGGTTTCGTCTTACGTTGTTTCCTTACAAATGCTCAAAATAATGTATGAATAACTATGCGCTGCATTATGTATTTTCAATAAGCTAAAAGAAGATAAAGACTCGTTCAAAATCAAACTCAAGAGTTTACAAGCGAGGTGTTGAAATGCATATTAAAAAGCACGTTCCACTTCTTAAGTATTGGCGACATGTTCTTTACTTCGATACTTTTCATTTAGGAACGTTTCGGACTCAGATTCTCATTTTCGACCGATACATATTATGGAAAGAACACAGAGGGCAAATAACTAAGCAGCGAACGCACTCTTTTAATAAATAAGAACTAAAGCGGATTTACGTACATTTGCGAGCGGCAATTCGATACGTACGCGTTTTCATTGTGCGATCGAACAATGCTAACGCTCGCAAGCGTAATGTAACAGCGTAAAGGATCGCAATTAAATCGAGTTTGCGCCGAGTTCGCTCTACATGTAGGACTTCCCCCCCCCCCCCTCTTCATCGCGACGCAGATCCCGAAGAATCCGTTCGTCCCGGAGTTCCTAAGCAATTACGACGGTTTCCGAGAACGTTTCGCGATCGCCCGCAGTTCGGCTTCGAAGTGCACGCCGGAAGGGGAGAAGGCAAGAAGAGTACGTATCTCTCCCACCCCATCACTTCTATCCCCCTTTCCGCTCTAGTCGTCCCCCTTCAGCCTCTTCCGCGTCCATTGGCGAAGACCTCATACATATTAATGGAGATCGGATCGATTTTACTGCGCGCGCTCGCTTCTTGCTGTGTTTAGGGACATCGACGTTCCGGCGCATAAGCTCTTCGGGCCGCCCGCAATGGTTATTATGCCATTAACGTAATGAAGTTAGGTGGCGGAGAATGCCACACCGGCGGTGGCAGGAGGGGTGGAGGCTGGCGGCTGGGTCCCGTCGCGGAAAAACGCGCTGAAATACGAGCGAGCGGGAATCTTCGATGATGGACTGCGCGTACGTTTTCTTGCGTCGTACGTGGCGATCGATGCGCGCGAGCGTTATTGCACGGGCGACCGATAAACGTAATTATAGAGAGCCGACCGTTAAGCTGTGCAGCAAACCGCACAGTTATTGGTGACCACATAGTTATTAATCATTAGGATTTGCGAGCCTCCAGTTGTTAATGAAGTAATTTAGTCATTAATGGAGTAATCTTAATTGTCAGTATCATATTGATAATTAATTGATGTTGTGGTCAGGCCGCAATTTGAAGCTACTTTAAATAAGACCTATGGTTGCAGTAATTTAACGTATTAGATTATTTCAAACCTCTCTGTATATTTTTTTAGAAGTTTTATTGCAAAAAAAAAAAAACACAATAAAATGAAATTAATCGTGAATACAATTTCCCTCCTTTTCGTTTATTGTTTCGCTATTTGATTTGTATTCAGTTTAAAAGATTCAATGGATTTTTGAATTGAAAAAGATTTAAAAAATACAAAGAACTTTTAAAGCTATATATTTTACATATTAACTCATCGTATGTGAAATATAAATGTCGAGTTTCACGCGGCGCGGGGAAATCATGTTTAAAACTGTCGACGAAGTATAGGTACGAACGATCGTATTTTATGCATGATTCAGTAACGACGGTAAACGGTTTATAGACAGGCTGGGAGCGTTCAGTCACTATTACCGGGTCGATGCAGCTGACGCGCTGGACATACGGTTGATATGTTTGTACGTCGAACAGACGAGTTCCTTGTGGCAACACTCGACGCATACGGAGACTCGCCAATTAATATTCCCTGCATCAACACTTGATGACAAGCTACACAACTGCTTTCCTCGCATATAGACACTCGATAATGGCGAAAGGAAGAGATTATCCCGAAAAATATACCTTTTTCCCCTATTTTCGGCAACGCTATCGATAATAATTTAACAAATAACTTTCAGCAAAATTATTTTATCGCGTATTCACTTTGAACGAGAGACACGAATCTTCACGACTCGTCGAAAGCGAGACATTCGACTGGACTTCCGGCTACGATTCTCCACGCTAATCACGCGCCTTTTTCCACGGGACGACAAGAAGGACGGCAAGAAGGACGACAGAAGAAAATCGCACAGCGTTCGATGCGCCACGAACCGTGAAAGGATTCGTTCAAAGGCTGCTTTCACTGCGCCGTCGTACCTTTTCATCGCCGAAGACGGACGGAAGGGATATAAAAGGAAACGAGCGAGACCAATTAACGATTTGCGCGATTTTATCAAGCGAGCAGCACATAATCCAACGTTAAAGCGTGCTACGTGTTCGCGGATGTTTCGTCCTGGACGGTTTTTCGAGGACTCGTTCGCAGAGAACCGGCTCGACCGCTATTTTAATACCGCGCGAGATTTACGCCGTGAAAGTGCAAGATGATCGACTCTTCATTCGACAGAAAAATTCTTGAGAAAATATTTGTAAGAATTTTTACTTCACATGTTATCACTTTTAGCAAAACATCGATACAACAATTATTTTAATATAATTTTAGGAAAATCGATAAAAGAATTATTGTAATATTTTTTTTTTTATTTAGACGTTTGAAATTATTCTCCTTTTACAATGCTTATGTAAAAATTATTCCAATCTCATTTAATTTAGAACATCTACATACATGCAGGCTTTCAGAAGGATATAGCGCCTGCCTATCTCATCTTCTATCCGGCTGTGCTTCGTGCTTCAACTAGAAAATGAACAAAATCCCATACAAAGGGTCACGCGCGCGCGGTATCTCGCTGTTTCGCGTTTCCGTATAATATTCGACGAGTCCTCGAGTCGACGGGCGCGGGATTATACGAGTACCGGGATGGTATCCCGGCCCCGGCCGCAATACGTAATGCGATTTGCGGTGTATTCGCCGCACAAAAGATTACCGCGGCGAGTTCCAACGAGCCGTGTACACGGGATCTTGGGCGCGCCCGTTAATACTTCCGCCGCCTAATGCGGAAGAAGGGCCCTTTCAACAGAGAGCAGCAGTCTGGAGGTACTCGGGCTTATTGCTTTCGACGCGTTATCTCGGGATCTCGTTGTACGGCACGTAATAAAGTCATATAGGATGAGCTATGTGCAGCATCCTTCAGATGCATCGTAATATTCATCGATGCGTATCTCGATCGAGACATTCAAAGTGGCGGCGCCTGCTCTTACATTTTATTAAAGTTTGATGCGTAATTTTGTCACCCTTGTTTCCATTGAAACGATGTAAATTCAAAGAAATTTCACAAATTTACAAAAGTAGGAAAACATTAATGTATTTTGACAAGGATTTCTTTGTCAAATACAGTATAAATCTCATTTACATTTCGACGCGTTAATCAACGTAAGCAAAGATTTATTAAAAATTCAAACTTCGTTAGAAAGACATATTATACTAGTAATATTAATAAAACTTTTAATATTGGTACTCAAAAGAATGCATCGAAAAAAAAAACGGAAGCTGCACTCACCTGTGAGTGACTCCAGACCTTTGGCTTCGGACTCGATCTTGCGTTGTTGGTCGCGTTGCCATTTCCAGAATTGTTGGAAATGTTGCCGGGCGACGCGGTGGACTTGATGGACGGTTTTTGTGTCTTTTGTATTTGTGCGGCTACCGCTGTTGAGGGAGTAGTGGTTCGTTGCTGTTGCTGCTGTTGCTGTTGCGCATTCGTTTGCTGCTGTTGCTGTTGCGTTTGCTGCATGATCTGCTGGATGAGCTCCAGCTGCTGCTTTGTGAGGCCTTCGTTGCTGGCACCAGGGGATGTGGCGCTCTGCAAAACAAATAGCAGATACGAGATAAATATTTTATACAAGATAAATAAATTTCTTTTGGTTACAATTTCGATATTATTTATTAACGGACATGCAAATTGCATATTATGTTACGCGGAGATATAATTTAAGATAAATAATCCAAATTTTTCAGATATCACTCGGATATATTATTTTTCCAAATCTAGTATCGTACTGCTGGAATTTTATCGACAAAACTTAGATCTTTCTCCGACCTTTTCACTTGAATCTTTTATCAAACATAAAATCTTTACGTTTAATTTTCTGATATCTAATTAGTGCAAATTTTGCTTATTCGCCGTCATCATTAAGTGACGAATGTTGATCACTGTACCATTTATGTGCCGGAGGCGTGATTGTACATTCGATCGGATATAACCACAGTCGGCGGATCTAGTTCGGCCCGGTCGTGATCGGTTGTCGCCGCGGCCGCAAACCATAATCGATCATGCCTTAATAGAGCATAACGTAGCCTTAGTGTCCGAGCCGGGCCCGCGTGCCTGACAATAGTTAAACCGATCGAATTTAATAATTTACCGGACCGATGTGAAATTACGAGCGGCGGCACCGCGACGCCGCGCAATTTCGACATCCATTAGAACGAGCGCACCGACTATAATTCCGTCCGTTAAACGCGCAGCAATAAACCGTAAATATATCGCGCGTCGATGTGTATCCGTCAACCAGCGACTATAATTACGCACACGTGTACGTGACGCCTAGAGTGCCGCGTGGGCTAATCCGTCTTTGTGCCCTGTTAAAGCGGTCACCGTGTATATCGTGTGTACAAAGGCCGTATCACGCTGCGAGGGTGGAAACCGCATTGCAATTGCACGTTGGTTGAAACAGCCTTACCTCAAATATTTCGAGAATTTAATACTTTACAACAAATAAATAATAAATAAATACGAGCTTAAATGACGAAAAAGAGTGAGGAAGGGGGGGGGGATTTACTTCGCCCATTCTGCTGTTAAATAAATATGATAAATTCATATTTATTATGCAACGTGTTCGAAAGTACAGCTTTAATACTTTATTTTTTGAATTTACCAAGCAGAAAATAAAAACCGGTTATTACTAAATCATTTTCGCGTATTACAGATGGGTGAGATTTTACGTGCATTGTGCAACGCGGACTTAACGCGGATGCATACACGATCGTATACGCGAGAGCGAGAGTATGGAAAAAAACGCGGATATATCCGCGATCAACCGCTTGCTGCACCTGCATGCTTACACCAGCGTGTGCTGAACGCCGAGCTTTGTTTTACAATCCGGCAATCGTGCGAACGCGTGGTGCGCTTCACCCGTGTCGCTTCGAGCGTTACTGCCGATTTTTCGATTGAGCCCTTTGCGAAACTGTACACAGGACACTGGCGATGTGTGCGCGCACGAGAATTCCGAATGCGGGCGTTACGATGTTCCAATTCGATCTGCGATTTTCGGTGACGACGCGCGGAATCGCAGTATCACGGCATCCAATTTTTTCCGCTTACGTGGAAATGCGAGACACGGTTAACAAAAAGACGCTCGGAATTTTTAATAGGCTTTTTACAACAGGCCCTCTTCGGCGAGACAAGTTGGATAATATTTTCGCGACGCTATAATATTTTCCACGCGTGATCATAATGCGAGTGTCATAACGAATTGATATCTGTTAGCTAACAAAGTATTTTAATAAAGTATATTGCATGATTTTTTTTGCAAGATATAACAAAAAGTGGGATGTCTCTGTTATGCATACATTTCTAATTAATCGAATAAGAAATATATCATAATTTGTAGAATATTCTAGACATCATTTTTATATGTGTTGTGTAGTTCGCGTACACACACGACCGCTCAATGTAAAACGTGTAACTAATAAATTGGAAATTAGAAGCGTGTAATTCACAAATATCCTAACCGATAGTCGACTGCAATTATCATCAGCCGAGCGTTTCCGACTGAAAGCGTGGATTGCGGACAAAGGAATTTATTTTGTTTGCGCGCTTATTTCATTTGCTACGCGCGACAAAATGAGAACGAGCCGTTCGGCGCGGCGCGGGATAATTGCGTCGCGAGGGGAACCGCTAATCAGTTTTACGCGCTGATATGACGATTGCATGTACGGAGCGGCGCGCGTTTCCGGCCGGCGGAGCGGACGCAGCGCGAATTGAACCGTCGATTAAAATTGGATTTGTTAATTACTGCAGGGAACGTGGTGACGGTGGCCAGCGGCGGCCCCGATCCGGCTCACATACCTTATTAAACCTTCATTTCGTAATTCCCGCGCTGCCATTTGTCATCGTCGTAATCAGCGGACGGTCCGCGTCTCGTCGACGAGTGGCGCGCATACACCGCGTCGCGCTCGCGTTTCTCCCCATTCGTGACGAAGGAAGAATTACGCTCACTGGATTTTCGAGAGATATTATCCCGTATCTTTGTGCGCACGTAATAATTTTCCGTCAGTAATTAACGGGTTATTTGATTAGAATCTCGCAAATACGGAACGCACGCAATCCGCAAACACACGATGGCCGAGAGCGATGGGTTTGTAAATATCCGCGCAAACAATATCGGCCATTGATATAATATGCGGCAACGTTTCCGCTTTATTCATGAGTTCGGGGAGGATATTAATACACGTATCGTGTTTTCCAGCACGGCTCTTGCTTCGCGATTCCTCAATTTGCCGGCCCTACCCGTATCTCGCGCAAAACGTTCGTCCCGTATCAACAATACGCATTACTCGCGTAATTACAGAAACATACACTCATTACACCGGGGCGTTGCGTTAATTGACGCGTGGGCGTTTATTAAAATATACGTATTTTAGTCATAAATATTTATTTTCGTCGATATATTAGCCATCGCGCGTTACGATGCATATATCGGTCCGTAATGTACCGTTGCGTTTTATGTTATGACGTATGTTGCTCCTCGGTGCGAGCTATGTTTTTCAATTTCAATTATCCACACTCATCTTAAATTATGATAATTACGATATTCGCGCGGGAGTACCAAATATTACATTTATTAATCCTTTCGTTGTTAACCCGTATACCTACGTATACGGGATCAATAAACATCGATACTCTGGCTGCCCGTATACGTTTGCGAGAGATAATTCAATCCTTGCAAACATTCCATTTTGGTCAATTTAAATATTATATTTTTTACAAATAAATCAATAGAAATATCAATTGTACTTGCAAAACAGACATTTTTCCCAGATATTTTGAAATACTTAATAGCCAAAGGGTTAACAACGTTAAACAAATTTGCGCTTATTCTCTCCGTGAATATTTATATCATTGATTTTAACACCATTGCACATTCTGTAAAATTATATCATTGTTTTGACTTAAAATTTTTTTTATTATATCGTTGCGCAAAATTTATCAAAAGATGCCTCGGACATCTGCGGCTTAATTAAAAAGAAAAAATAATGTAGCGAATACCGGCTTTGCGATAAAATTGCGGGCATATTACATACTCGCTTGACTCGTTCGTCGCGTTCCTCCGAGACCGCAACGAAGCCGCAGTATCCGGATCATCCCGCCGTTCCCCGATGGCACGCTTATCATATACGCGCCCTTGTACGTCACGATTGCCATTTGTACGCATACAAAACGCGCGTTTCAACTCGAAAGCGCGTCGCGACGGCCGCGCATTTATCAGCCGCGAGTCCGCGGTCGTTCCGGAGCGTCTGCGAAACTTCGCCGTTATCTCTTGACGTGTATTCGCCTGTCTGACAAATCGCTGTTCGCGAGAGAAGCAAAACACAGGAGGGCCCCGGCTCGAAACTCTCGTCTCCTCTCTCCCTGATCTCCCCCTCCCCCTCCCCCCCTTCTTATGTAAAATCTCCCCTTGCGAGAATCGCGTGTGTCCTTGGCATTCTTGCGCGATTCTCACGCGAGAATCGCATTATTTTTCCCGTTCTTCCTCTCGCGCATTCTGACTCTCTCGTTCATCATATCATGGTCCTCGACCCGACCCATTTTCGGATCTGTCCTGTTTCTCTTCTCCCACCAATGCCGGCTACTGCGGCCGAGTACCATTATTTATACATTTATGTGTGCCTCTTGTGCGGTTTGCACGGTTAAACGCACATGTTTGATTCATTAACTAGAAATAGACCGATAGAAATTAATGTGATTTAAGCCGCCTGTCAAAAAATAAGCCAATGAATAATTTGATCCGGCAAGTAGCTGGCAACTTTTTCAGATTTATAGGATTATAAATTACATTGTGAATTATGGATATTTTGTACTAATTTGTTAGAATAATTATAATAAATAAGAGCTAATAATAATTATGATATTATTATGCATACGATAAATGAATTCGCGTTGACAGAGATTGTTGTGCACGTTGCTTTTTATTTTCAACTATTCGTTTCAGCGCGACAGGAAATATCGACTGAAATACACACTACGTGCTCCAGCTGAGCGATATACTCCGATACTGCATGATTTATAACATCGTAACTTCGTAGACGCGTTCAAAAACTTCATCCATCATAAATGCTCGATGAACCGATAAAAAGCGTATTAATCAGGATTTATAATTGTAAGCTTTCTCCTCGGATGAATAATAAAAAGTGGACCGGCGCGATCTCTCCCCCTCTCGGATGCCTTTCCTTATCGATATTTTATTAATGTACGGAGCGCGCTCACACCCCGTCTGCGCGCAGCGTGCCTCGCTTTTATGAGCTTTTCACACCTGTTACCGTCGAACCTGTGTGCGACTCACGCACAATGCGAAATATGCGAACGCGCGAAGGAAAGGAATTTTTTCGCGCTCGTATAACGCCTTTTTACCGCGCCGTTATAATATGACGCGATGTGGGCGCGTAATATACAGAGTGCGAAACCTATCTCGCCCCCGCCCCGGTTCCTCCGCCTCAGTAACCCGCGTCACCACTGCGACCCGGAATAATAAACGATATATAATATCGCGGATCGAAAAATCTGAGCTCTCCAGGCTTTTCGCG